TATGTTACTCCATATCAAATGGGAGGAAGTTAGAGACTTCTGTGATTCAAATGCTGATGGTTCAATTTTATATAGACATACATATTAACTTGTGGTGAGATCAGTATCAGTGTGATATTTCCAACAACCTGCCCTCTTAATTCCTTGAACTCCTCTCCTCTCACACATCATACTCCACCCACCTCAGCTACTCATTTTAAATGTCAAAAATAATAACTACAAATCTTCCCTAATTGCAATTTCAAGCATCTACTCTAACCACCACTGTCTTTCCAGTTCACTCCTTCTAGTAACGCAATTCCAACAATCATTAAAACTCACCCAGGCCTATAATCCATTTACTCTGTTCCTTTTCACTATCCTAATGTTCCCTTCATGTCCTTACTTCTCTCATTATCATAAGAACACTTTTAATTTTCTTGCTCTCTTTCAGGTCGTGCCCCTGGTAAAACTGCAGCCCTAGTCAAATTTACTCTTTCCCTGACTCTATAGCTACACACTTTTAAAGCTGAATGTGGCTGAAGAAAAACACACAACCTTGCAAATCCTACTTAGAATTCAAGATTAATAAACTCAAGGAGGTCCTGCATGCTCCTGATAATCAAAAAATATATCCCTAGTCTATTTACCCTTCTACTTACCCAGAAAATGTAACTTGTTTGATTTCCTTCTTCTAGAAATCACAGTCCTAATCTTCCTAACTTCCTGTTGACCAATATCTGAAAGTAAATATTTTCGACCAATAGATCCAAACAAATCTTTTGGTGCTCTCTTTCATACTAAAAACATCTCTCTTTTGGACTATAAGTTATACAGTCATACTAAGTAGCAATCAAGAGAGGACAGAATTTCAAGATGGAGGGAGTGGCCAGTATTACCATATGCTCGTGTTAGTTCAAGAAATATGACAATAAAAAGTTTTTGTTGTATTAAATAGCATGAATTGCATTAATAACTTGATGAAAATAATTATGTTGCAGCATTTAGGGTGAAAGGCATATTAAAGTGGGCTGGAGAAAGAATAGCAGATAAAATCAGGAAGTATGGACAATTCTTTCAAAAAATTTGTCCATTA